TAAATTATTGTTTACACGGTAAATATGTTATATTTTCTCGCTTTTACAAGAGAAATATCAAACAAACGACAACCCCACCGCTCATGGTTGCATTTTAGTATCGAGAAAGATTGCCAGAGACTCGTTCGCTGTGTGAACAGCCAAAAAGCGATTTCAGAAATTTTTCCTGCAATTCGCCGTTCGGAAATAAAAACCTCTTTCGAATGACACTTTCCATGCAAGGTGTGACTGCTCATGCAACTGATTTCTCAATTTGACAGCCTTTCCGAAATTTATTGCATCGAAATATATTGCCACGTCTGACACGCTCTTAAGTTGCCTTGTTTCTCAATAACGGACACTAGGATTGCAAAACCTTAAAATTCTGCATCGTGATATGTATGATGTACACGTAAATGATTACAGCAAGTTGCAACTCATTCCACGCTTTTATCAAATGCTTCAGGATTTTTTTTTTTTTTTAAATACAAGTTACTTTAAGAAATGCCCGTTCCGATTAAGTGGTCACTGTGGTGTCCACAAGAGAGTAGAGGAAAATATATACCAAGAAATCAAATAAATTCTTGAAAGCCCGTCGCATATACTTTCAAACCGTGGGAACGTTTGGAGTGAAGAAGCCTACTTCTAGCATGGCAGTTAGGAGTGTAGTATTTCCGTCGATATTCTAAAATTTTCAATTTCTCAACCTCATTTCTCATTTGTAAATAAAATCGCCGAGCGAAAAGAGCCGAGCGAAGAGGTTTCGAGCTGAGTGAAGCTTTCAAATTTCTGTAGCTATATGAACCCTGCAGTGAAAACCCAAACCAGTTAGAAAAAATACTAGTTCATAAACTAGTATGTGCCTACCATTTCGACATTTCAATTGGCAAAGCCTAAAATAAAACGCCATTAATTGCTTTTCTTACAAATGTCGGCTGTGGCGTCACGGGCAGACTACTTGTTATGGTTCTGGGATCGCAGGTTCGGGGCCGCTTGGAGGTGGTTAAGATTTTTAAAGTTAGATCAATGTAAGTAGGAATAATTATTTCAATTTAAATATAAATAACAAACTTAAAAATCTAGTTGCATTACAAAAAAAAAAGAAACAAATATATAAAAAATATAATTTTTTTTATTAAATTTAAGAATAACAAATAAAAACCTAAATAAAAATATAAATAAAAGAAATATTATAAACAAAAAAAAAAATAAAAAAATAAAAAAATTGGGCTTGAACCTGGGACTTCAGGCATACCACGCGAGTGCTTTGCTTTGTCGGCCATTGCAACTGTTGGAGCGCCGCGAGCAAAAAGGCATACTAATGCTTTTCATGGGGGATGAATTGGCAGACTATCTCATCAACTGGTATGATGCTACTAGTATTTCTACTAGTAGATGCTGATGCATAGCCTGACAATTGACATCTCGTAGGACATCGCAATGTTAAAAAAACGAGTCGCTAACATTGAAAAAGGATAGAACGTGAACTAGTTGAGCTGAAACGCAAACTGGTAGAATTCTAGTTCACAACTAGTAGCTTTCACTGCAGGGAAAGTGTTCATACAGCAAGCTTCTTCATAAGCGTTTTGGAGCTGAAAGCAAAGCAGTTTTTGATTTTGAATTTTTTATTTAATTTTTCAGCTTCATGACGCTGCTGCAAATAAAATAGCAAAAAATTCAAATAAAAACGAATTTTACAACTAATCTTTTGAATTGAGCAAATATTTTAGCCGCTTTTCATTGACGGTAAGTTTTGTTGTATCTTTGCAGCCGAGTTCATGAGAAAAGCTCCGCTTCGCTTAGCCGAAACAGCAGCTATGTATATCTTCTACCAATTTCCATAGTCGTTGTTTTTCCACCGCTTGACAACGGCCTTTCACCCAAAAAATATTGTCCCGTCAATTTTGCGCTAAGGCGCCTTCAATGGCACTTTAGCAATATTCGAACTGCCAGCTACTCGTAAGTGACCGAGTGGGTGGAAACGCTTTCAATTAACCGAACATTTTAACTCAATGCACTCACGAGCTTGCGTATGAGTATGTGAACGTAATTTAATTTGCCGGGAGTAAGTTAAAAAAAAAAAATTAACAACAACAATATCAACAAACAAAGAATTACCGCATAACCGCACAACAGAATGCAGCAAAAAATTCCGATAATCTTATTTCATGTTATTGTTGCATTTTTTGTATTGGTTATTTGCATGTGCAACACTTACTTACATATGTACATACCGCCCCCGGCTCCGTTCGCACTTGGAGTATGCTGTTATCGTTTGGAGACCGTTTGACCAACTTTCGATATCAAGAATTGAACGTGTTCAAAAAATATTTCTTAAGCATGCATTACGTTCCCTACGGTTCGAGGCTCCTGTTCCATCCTACAATTCTCGGCTTATGCTTATTAATCTAGACTCTCTAGAAAAGAGAAGGACTGTCCTTTCACTGTCGTTCACTTTCAATATTATTAATGGTATCACTGATTGTCCAGCTTTACTTGAGCGGATAAGCTTTAATGTTCCGAAAAGAAATCTTCGCTTTTTTACCCTTTTTACGGCGCAAACTATAAGACTATATTTTTGCCTATTGCTCGTGCTCTTCGGGATTTTAATGTATTATCTAATTCAAACCTGCTTGATTTTGCTTTATCTAGATCAAATTTTGTAAAAATACTGAATGTAATTGTTTAATACGGTATTTATGCATAATTTAATAATATTCTAATTGCCAATTTGGGCGTGTTTATATTTTTGTCTAGTCTGTAAGGTACTTTGTACTGTAGATTATTAAATAAATGAAATGAAATGAAATGAAATGAAATGAAATAAACACGATTTTCTAGCATCTTGAAACTTGCACTTTATCGTACTAAAATTTAACGGGCTATAAAATTGCATACTTTAAATTTTTCTAAAATTGCTAAATAAAAAGTTTCACATTTTCTGAGAATTTTGTTAAAAATTGTTAAAATTTTATAAAAGTTGTAGAAAATTTTCAATGCGCTAGACTTAGAGAAAAATATTAGACATCGAATAAAAAAAGAAATATAGCCAAAACTGGTCAATATAAAAAGTTTCTATTGTTTCTTTCGCCACTGTATGTATATCCGCAACAACTGCTTTTTCTCTGCTCTCAGCTCACAAACCCACGCTAAGTTAATCTTTTGTATACCAGGATACAACAAAAAAGATACAAGTTAGCATTACTCGAAACAGGCAATTATATTTTGCAAACAATCGACCACAGTACAGCTACTAACGAAATCAACATATGAAGCTTCAAATCAAAAAAAAATGGGTGAAACAAATACAATTACGAGCTGTGGCAAAAATACCACAAAATGGAATTAGTGGTCGAGCTATTACTGAAGTGACGGTGGATAGATTTGTTAGTATGAAAAAGTATGGAGCATTTAATATGAATAGCTAAGGTGCTGAATAAATGCTTACATACTTTGAATTGAATAAATTTTTCGAAGACCAACGAGGATGAGAACCTATATCAAACAAATCAAATTATTTCTGTCGCAGGCGAACTTTAAATACGAACAGTAGCTTCAAAATGAGCCGTTTATTTTGAAAGTAGCTTAAGTCACTTCACACCTCTTGTGTTTAAATGGTCAGTTACTTGTATCTGGACGCGTTTGTTATTAGGTCAACTTCATCAAACAAAGGTAGAAGGGTTTTGTCGTTATTTGGTTACAAGTTGTCGGTAATTTAATCACAAGAGGTACGCAGTGACTTATGCCACTTTTAAAATAAACGGCTCATATTTAGAATGTAAGTTTCTTTCAGCAACTAACTGCATAATTAAAATATTACTAAAAGAGATTAAGCAAAAAAACACTTAGAGAAATGACAGTCACCGAGCAAGCTGCAGAGCATAAAAATACATACATACATATATATGAACTTACTAAAAAAAAAAAAACAAAAAAGCAAAGATGAAAGTGCTTTTCGCTCAAAGGGCTAAACGTTATCAAAGGCTAGCTATTTTTTATTTTTTTTTTTTTTGTAAATTTTCGAAAAAGCTCGCTTTATTGAAAAAATCGCAGAGGAAGAGGCTGCCCGACTGCGAAGTGCGGTGTGGTGTATACAGTCCTTGTGTCGATATTTACTTGATGAAAGTATTTTTGACTGACATGCAATCCTCTTGCAGAAAAATGCACATACAGTTTCACAGCACACATGCATATTTTGTGTTTATTTATTTATTTTTTTTTTTTTTTCAAAACAGCAGCGAGTTTTATATTCTATTTCACTAACGAGTACTTTTTTGCGCTACAGGCAAATTAAGCAAGAAGCCCAGAAAAAAAATATGTACATACATACATATGTATGTAAATGTTAATTCTAAATGAAAACAAAATTTTAGTTTCCCAATTTCAATACGGACGTGTGACTTCTTCAAATTGAACAGTTCAATTAGCTTTAGAAAGCTGATAAGCAATAAATATACACAGGATACGGTATGGTGTTTACTAAAAGGTAATATTTTTGATGTTTTCCAAAGTCACTTATTTATAAAAAAAATAGATGCCAGCGATATATTCTCTGCTATGCCTTTCTTGCATATGTCCATAGTCTGGGATGGCGCCAGAATGTCGCATGTGGCG